ATGTTATTTGATGTGAATAATTTTCCCAGACTGATTTAATGAAGAAAACCTCGACGGGATTCTCTACCTTTTCGTTTCATAATCTGACGCAGGATTAACATCACCCAATTATGCATGGGGGCTGAACACGGCGACCTTGCCACCGTTTACAAATTTCAAGGTGAACGTACTGCCATTTGAGATTTAAACATATATATTACATGACCTCGATAACTCAACTGTTAATTGCTCCGTTTACCACATAAGAAGATATAGTGTTTGATTTCGGCTATGGCTTTCACTTTGCTACTCTAGTACTCATCGTCATAACCGGCGCGTGTTACGTGGCGTATAACTTTACAATGGTTTTTTAAATTTCTATTTTGCTATATAGTACACGTAACTGCAGAGGCCGGGAAATAAAGAATTGCGAGTCAGGCAATCTCCGTTCCCGCCGAGGTATATATAATACTTTTCACAGACAATACGAGGAAATTATAAAAGACTAAAGAGTGAAAGAGTAAAAATAATTAATTAATTCTTCATCACAAATTTTGTTTCTTATTATAAATTAGGCGGAGTACAGTCCATTATTGTCTTTCGCTCTTCTCACCAGAACTCATTTTAGCGAAGAGAGTAATATAAAAAAAAAATGTTCAAAGTATTAATTTTATTTTACCGCCTTTTGTAGTGCAGGTATATTCGTGCACCATAACTAAATGCAAAACAAGTACACCATAGACATTTTTTTTTCAATTCTCACAATTACGGACACTGATGCTAATGAGCAGTTGGCTGTATGACAATTTTTTTTAGTCTATTTACATAACTCTTTGTACGTAGATGTAAAAAATTTTGAGCAGCGAACTAACGTGGTAGCAATAATGCTTGTTGTGAAAGACTTTGTCCAGGGTACTGCCACCTTACCTATTTCTGACGCCAAGCAGTAATGCTCACATTACTGCGTTCCGGCTTTGAAGGACAAGTGTCAGGTGAAATTACAGGCACATGGGACTTGTCAATTTATGTCTAAGTGTGAAAGGCGCAGTGGGAATACCCCTCAGATCTTTGCGACACGCGTGCGCGTTGTTATTATAAAAAAAAACTGTGAGTTCTTTTTTTTTAGTAATGCAAACTTCTCCGAGCATGTTTGAGAAACAATTATTTTCCTACGCATGTTACTTTTCTTTAGTTCACGCTGCGGTAGGTATCTATTCACGTGTAATAACCATCCTTTGGGTAAAAAGGTGATTGCCGTTTATTGTCCGAAAATATAGCGTTATTGAATCGACCTTTGGACGGTCACTAATTGTTTGTACTCTGTTCTTATTACGCTCACGTTGTTGCTTTAAACAAATTCACGTGGATCGAAATATTAGGCTTCTAATAGATACAAAACACGTACAAAAGCGTCTGAACGTCTGTTAGGTTAACAACAGACTTAATCACGAGTTTAATGAAGTTTAAATAAGTGACATTGTTTTAATTAAACGTTTGTCTGTCTTTGTTCATATTGTCTTGGATGCTCTTTGTTTACAATTTAACAAGAATATAACCAATCTATTAAACATACCACCTCTGAGCACGATCCACTCCGCGACCGCTCCGGTTACAAACGGACCTTCTACAAAACGCTATTAATCGTTTTATTAATTTTCAATTTTAGTAGCGTAGAGCTCCTTGTGGAAGAGTTCGTCCATGCACTGCCACCTTATTTATTTTTGCTCCCAAGCAGTAATGTGAGCTATTATTGCGTTCCGTGTTTGAAGGGCAATGCTCAGACCACACAGAGGCCGACGCGCAGCCGCCGCGCGTTTCGGTGTGCCAGGGTTCATATAAACTCGTACATTACGAAACATGTGGAGGCATTAATAAACAAGTTGCATCGCTACGTATACGTTTTGAGGAGGTTGCGAAATGTGTCATCACCACACACAGTTTTGGCTGCCTATCATGGTTATGTTGCATCTCTGATTAGATAAGGACTTTTGGTTTGGGGTAACTCAACTGTTTGTGAAAAATAGTACATAGTTAAAAAAAAACGTGTCGGAGCAATGACCGGTATTTCACCAACTCAATCGTGTGCACCCTTGTTTAAAGACTTGGGAATATTACCCTTGCGTGTATGTATATTCTTGAAGTCGCCTGGTTTGTTAAACAAAACCTAGATATCTTTAAAAAAAGAAGAGATATCCATATTAGACGTATAAGGGATCCAAATAGATGTCCTACATGTAATAGATGTGAACCTAGACTGTCCTACTATAAAAATCAATGCAATAGTATGTGTGTCCAAATATATAACGCTGTACCAACCGACATTAAAATGTTACCAAATCGTTTGTTTAAAAACAGATTGAATGCATGGCTTAAAGACGAAAATTATTACACAGTGACCGATTTCTTGAATAAACATTGACGTATAAATTACTGCTGCTGCTGGTATTATAATATTCTGTAATTGTTTGACTTTCATAATTTTTGTTATTAATTTAATTGACTATGTGTTGGAACAAAATTAGAACTTTAAGGATGTTTTGTGCACGCCTAGGTACTGACATTATTTGTAATCTAATCAATTAATTCAATCAATATAAGTATAATTTTGCCAGATGCCAGATGTGGTAAAATATGAGCTCTATCTCTCTACTGTGGTCCATCTCATGTTCACCATATTTCATTTCATTTCAAAAATTCCCGCGCCTGGAACGCTTCCGCGGCCGCCTTTGTGTGGCCAGAGCATTAGGGTGTTGGTGAAATTACAGGCACACCTTGTCTCAGGCAGTGCGCAGTGGCAGTGCCCCTCAGATCTTTGCAGTTTAAAGCTCTTAGTGGCATTGCAATTGTGGACAGGCGTGAAGATTAAAAAAAGCCTATAAACCGCCGCTCTGAGCCAATGAGTGTTGGGGATATTCCCAACACTCATTGGCTCAGAGTGGCGGTATCGGTGACGTGTATCATCATGGTTTATTATACCTCACAAGTTACTGAAAGGTTTTGCTGCTAAATATACACAAATGTATGTAACTTCAAAATTGAAGTCATAGGTACGTGCCACCATATGGTTGCAAAAAATAAATATGACATAAAATACGAGAGCGGTTTGATAAATACGTGACTTTAAAGTTAAATATTACAGGTTGAATCAATTTTGTAAGTAGCAGTAGAGCTTCTTGTGAAAGAGTACATCCAGGGCAGTACTATCACCTTACCTATGTTTGCCGCTAAGCAGTAATGCGAGTATTACAGCGTTCTTCTTTCTCCTTGAACCGATGTCGATAAAACGCACACAAACAAAATGATAAACACCATGAATTCTTGATAATGATTGGTCATTCTAATTTAAAAAGATGTAACAAACTCTGGATTGTTAATATAATTTTCTTAAACTTACTCGGAAATGTTTGCATTACTTTCAAAAAACGAACACGAAAAGTTTGTCATTTATGGACCGTGCGATTACTTCCCGGCCATGGCCTGCAAAGTAAGTGAGAAAATCCATAACTAGCCACTTCTCTAAACTTTTAAACCTACTACTATAGTAATGAACAAACAGGCAAAGGAAAAACTCATACAGCTCAAGAGGGAGCATGCCAAAAAAGTTTTGACGTTGGGTCCGCCCAAATTTGTGAAACAAATATATGCCTGAAGTTCGCGTGACATGCGACAGGAGATGTTGAATTTTGCGCATTAAAAGTACCAAATTCGTTTTAGCGGAATAACTCTAAAACTAAAGGGATTAAAAAAAATCCGTAGTGACAGTTCTCGATCATGCATAAATATAATTAATTATCTAATTTTTGTCCTAATAACCTGTAGCATTTCGAGGATGAATCGAAAAAATTTGAAAATTAGAGGTCACTTCGTGATTGTTATCTATCGAGGAACTTTATTGTTTAATGTTTCTGATTAGTGTCTATGCTTGAATATATCGTGTAGTTACTCATACAATATTTTATTTTTAATTTTAAAGTGGATATACCCCTCTAAAATCAAATCGAAGATTAGGAATTTTTCCTCTGCTCCCTCTTAACTGCCCATTGTTCATATTTGCGTGAATTAAAAATACCTACTAGAGCGCTTACTGAAAAAAAAAGGAAATGGCGGTGACATTTAAACTAAAGTGTTTTGGTATTCTTTTTTTTTCGTCTTTTTTGTATTTTGGTCGCGAAAATTACTGCTAATGTGAAAAGCGATACAGTAATAGATACACATTCAAACACATCATAGAACTTCAGCAGACTACTATTAATGTGCCTGGAAAAACGATAGCATTTTCTTTTGGCAATTGTCCTAACACGTCAAATATTACTTTTAATATTTTTTACTTTTTCGGCGGGAACGGGGATTGCTTGACTTGTATTAATACAAGGCCTTGCTGGCGCTCGTCCTTGTAACTCATACTCGTCCAGCAATCCCTTAGTTCCCCGCCTCTCCAATAATGTATAAATATATTAATCTTTACTCAGTTGCTACATCGTTAAAAGTTTTGTTTTTATATTGAAATTTTATTCAACGTGCTGCCATCTTGCGGCCAATTACTGGACTACAGCGACCGATTAACATCTGAACGAATAGATAATCAGAAAATTCAAATTTTTTTTAAATAAGACTGACCAATGATTTGAAATATTACTACAGGTAATATTTTTGGTGCAGCTATCATTTTAATGAGGCATTTTTCTGTGATTTTGGAGAATTTGCTCGAAAAAACGACATAACCATAACCATACAAAGCGAAAATGGCGGACTGCACTCAAGATGGTCCTTCGAGACACGTGTCAGACGCTAACTAACCACTTCTAATATATTTATTGTTCTGTGGTTGCCTCAACGTGGCTATCGCTCTTACCTACTGAGCTAAGATATAATCAGCAGATCTTACGTATTTCCTGGTATTTTTTGATATGAATTCTTATTCGTATATGCCAACGTATAAAACAGCAGTCTCTGTTCTATTAAAAATGTATTAGGGTCTTATAAAATTGCAAAGATTATTTTTCAAGCACCAACTCGCTTACCTGCTTTTAATTTCTCCAGCTGCTCGACGGGCACGTCCTGCAACAAAAACACAACACTGTTATGATATCCATATTCATTGTTTTCTAAGTATTATAACAAAAACGTTGCATAAAAAGTAGTTTATTACATTAATAGTGGTTTATTATGGTCCTATTGAATGTAAAAAATAATATTTTAAATTTAGAAACAACGGAAACCTACGGATTCTCAAGCAGAAGGTCATGGCTTCGAATCTGTGCTTGCACCTCTGAGTTTTTTAGAATTTATGTGCAAAATTTAATTTGAAATTTACCATGAGATTTTCGGTGAAGAAAAACTTCGTTAGGAAACCTGTACACATCTGCAAAGCTATTTCATGATGTGTGTGAAGTTCCTAATCCTACCAATATGAGAGAAGGCCCATGCCCAGCAGTGATTATAAATAGGCTAACTATTGCTATAATAAGCAAAGCCTTAAACTTAGGAAATGATAAACTTAATATATGCTCCGGAATCTTATTGTAAAAACGTATACAGTTCCCCATAAAAGAGTTGTTTACCTTGGTTAAACGAAATCGTGGTACCATGAGTTTGGACTTAGCTCTAAGGTTAATATTATGGATATCTTCTGAACGAGCAGTAGCTTAAATGTGACGTTTTCAAGTGTAAATTTATTTTACTTATGGAATAAAAAATCTTTGACTTTGACTTGAGCTACACAAAACTATTAAAATATTGATTTTAAGACTTTCGTGGTTATTCACTAAATGATTGTCACTAATATCAGGTTTCTTACCACGGTATGACTTCTTTTTATTTTCCCGATATTTCGGAACGGTTGCACGCTCCATGGTCACGGGTTGTATAGCCCCCAGGTACTCTCGACAGAACATCACTACATACCACGGTTGGTACGAGAAGCCATCGAGATCACGAAGTACAAAACATTTAACCGTGATGATGGTTTTAAACTATCCAGTGCATGGAATCCGGTCCTTGTGCGTGCAGTAATAAAAACAAAAACACCTCGAGTTCAGTTTCGCGTGTGGATACAGTGAGTGTGGTTTGTGTGAAAAAGTGAGTGACAATGGTAACGCCACAACAAATCGCGATGAAGGTAAGGTTGACTGGACGGCGGCAGATGACAGCTTTAATAGCAGACATATCGCAAGAGGGTAGACAGATATGTCTGCTCTTAAAGCTGTCATCTGAAGTCATACCGTGGTAAGAAACCTGATATTAGTGACAATCATTTATTAAAATATTGATGAATTATAGAAGAAAGCAACATTAATTAACTGCGTTTAGTTCTTTTTTCTTTAATTAATTTGGTTCAACAAACAGTAGACACAATCAAACTGTGTCACTAGGTAACACTCCTAACCACTAATGACTACATCAAAACTGAAAGGTGGTGATTCACAAGAATAAATAACTAAAGTAATAAACTAAACTAAAAGTAATTTCGTACAATTACACCTATTACTTTTGTTAAAGTGATTATACGTTGTTATATAATTAAAGCAATAAAACGTTTAATACAAAAAAATAATTACTACACACACTTATGCATTATAGTACGTATAATAACAAGTAATATTGTCTGACATAAGGTATTATAATTTTTTTATAAAAAAGTTTTATTGACATTGGTTAAAGGAAAGTGGGTGAAGTCGAATATACTGGATTTAATTAATTTGCTACCCTTAGAGATGGAATATATTCTTCAAATTTGTATGAGACCACTACTGCAGTACCGAATTTCCAACAAAAAATAATCATCGAAATCGATTCAGAAATGTTGAAGTAATCGCATAAGATACACTCAAAAAAATACAGTCGAATTGAATATCTCCTCCTTTTTTTGAAATCGGTTAAAAATAATTAAATAAAATAAGTTTTGATATAAAATTGTACTAATTACTGTTGTCAGGATGTCCTATTAATATTCAATTTCAAATCACGTCCCGACTGTAGTCGCTGGGAGCGTACTATGTATAGATATCTCGCTGTAACTACAGGCACAGATTACTTAATAGTTACTACGTAACAAATACATCTCTTGCATACGAAATTGAAAATACCTACGCCATAATTGCCTTCTAAATTTGACTAATGACACCAAGCGCTCAATACGAGGAAAAAGGAACCTAAGCGCGAGCTCAGAGAGGTGAAAATAACGTTGCCGCCATGTGCAGTCGTGCGGAGCCGAATGCTCATAATGAAAGACATAGTTGGCACTTCTTGCGTAATCTTGAGCGAAAAACGGAGGCTTATTACAAAGATTTACTGCCACTGCGCCCGTCACCCTGAGACATGAGTTTAAAAGTACTATGTGCGTGTAATTACACCAGCGCCCTTACCCTTCCCGGAACGCAGTAATATTCAAATGCTCTACGGCTACTAAAGTTACAAATTAAGTAAGATTTTTAAATTATACGCTTATTTACAAAATAGAACAGAATAGAATAGAAAACGTTTATTTGCCAGAATACAGTAATTATACAGATCTAAAATAAAAATAGGCACAAAGTATTCAAGCAAGCAAAAAAGCACCTGCAAGCAGGGGTGCAAATAATAATTGAATTAAATATTTTGGCCTTTAAAATTAATTGCATTTCAAATTAATATAAATTAGTATTTGTAAACTCTAAATATTCTTTATTACTATAGAAGCAATGTGTCATAAGCCATTTTGTCAATTGTGATTTATACGTAGGTCCGTGTAGTAATTTAAATTCATTTGGTAAACTATTGAAGATATATTGAACCAGTTATTCTTATAAACTAATTTATGGCATCGAGGTTGGTATAAAAGATTTCTGATTCCTGATTTGTCTTTGTATCACTACACCACGCGTTTTAAAATACAGAGGATGAGTGTTCACAAATACACAGATGTCCCTTATATACATGCTTGGCAAAGACAATACGTTCAGCTTTTTTGAACAACGGTTTGCAGCTATCATCGAACCGCACATCACAGATCGCTCGAATACACTTCTTCTGAACCTTGAACTACTACCCGAGTTTTAAGGTCGTCAAGGGTGGACATAACCCTTAGTTCGGATGCCGCTCTTTTTAACTTTTTTAAGCCGCCCAAAATTAGGGACCCCTAACTTCCTTACAGTTACAAACCGAACTCCCTAAATTACAGCTAGGATCCCTTGAATTCGGGTAGTGAAAGCGATTTACTCCGAGTTTAAAACTTTTATGAACAATGATGTAACAACATTTTTTTAATGTAACACCTTGTACCAGCGAACGCCTCGAGCGTATGACCAACTTCAAAGGAACAACCTACAAGTATTTGCATGTCTAGAGCCGTTGACGACGTCATTAGAATATAAAAACATGTTTTGACCGGATTGTTGAAAATGTTTTATAACTTTAAAACAGGGTAAGTACAACTTGGACGAGATTACTACCAAAATGTCGCTGTTGTTTCACGCCCAGTGTAGCCAAATGATTACATTTCCTAAATGTTTCGTAACTTTTGACCCTCTCGCATAATAATATTGATAATAATTATGCTTTTACTTTTAAGTACAAAACATGTTAAGATGGTGTTAGAGGAAAATACCACTTCAAAGTCGAAAAAGAAAGAAAGGCTCTTGATTGAAAATAACTTTATGTGTCAGTAGATTATTAAAACATAATGCCATTCTTCTACATAATAAGAAGACAAATTTTGCAGCAAAGGTCGAATTTAGTGATTGTTTTTAAGTTTTTTACGTATAATTCGTTTATTTTTGAGTTCATCTTTATACGCGTGTAATTCTTTAAAAACCAACGTTGTTGTTGAAAAGATTTGCATTTAAATTACGTTCATTTATTAAAAATATATCAAAAATAAATTTCCTTAAATTTCAAATCGCTTGTTTAAAGGCAGCGATATGCAAGGAACTTTTGTTCCGTTTCGTAATTCTTGACATCGATGACAATTTTTTAATTCTACATCATTTCTACACAAATAACGTTTGTGAAAATGAAATGCCAACGGGTTTAGTTAGTTTTGTTAATACTAGATGGCGTTTGCAAGAGTTTGCTTTTGGGCTAGCACAACAGGGTGCGACTTGCGCGAGAGCGACATAGAGCGCGAAAACTCTATGCGAGAATAGCAGTATCTCTATCTCACGCTTCATGTCGCTTTCGCGCAAGTCGCGTCCTGTCGTATCACATAAATATAGCTCAAAGGTTTTGTTAGTTTTTGCACTCAATTGATAATATGAATGAAACCAGTGAAAATCATTGTAGTGTAGGAGCGTCTAAACATTGCGTTTGATACGAATCCGAACAAGAAAAAAACGATAATCCCTAAATTCGCACTAGAATTATCCAAACACTTCATTCGACATTTGTCAAAGGGATGGGGTATCGATGTGGTCTACAGCTGTGTACGCATCTCTTTCTACTAGATTTTTGTAGCCCGTGGCGTTGTTTTTATAGAATATAGTTTTGTCTTACCGATTTACCCGTCGCCGAATCGCCGTGTCCTGAAACAAGGAAAGGAAAATTTTATTTCTCTTTGCACAGTCTTCTTATACTTAAGTAATTTTATTTATTTAATCAGTAGGTAAGTCGTTCACAACAAATGAGATAATCAGCTAAACATCTAAGTCAAATAATTTTTATTTCGTACAATAGCCCCCTTTACACACTAAATGAGTGTTCTGAGTAATGGACCTAGCTGATTTAAGTTTACTAAAAGTGTATTTAATGCACCTAGGTGAACTAATTCAGGTGAATTAAGTTAACGCACCCACTCTATCGCGCATGATCCAGAGCGTACAGAATTGCGCGCGGGAAACCTGCACGCGCAATCGTGCGCGATTACCTGTTTACAGTTTTTAAGCTAACGTTCTTTCGCGCGCAATTGCTCGTGTTAGGTTTTGCTCACAACGGAAGAGCGTCCGTGTAAAAGGCAATCTTGGAATGCACGATTGCCCGCGCGACTGATGAGAGCAATCGCGCAGTCTTTCCCTTTTCCTTCCAGCATCTTAACACGCGCGCTCCATCGCGCATGATTACAGTATCACGCGCGAAAGAGTGTCTGTGTTAAGTCCGCTATTGATTAAACTTTAATAATCATTGCTGAAGTCCCATGAGAAGAATGAGCAATAAAGACTAGGGGTTTGTCTTTGTAAATAAACATTTTTACACATTTATCGTTTACAATATTTATTTACAATGAGCTCCCGCCCATTTTTAAAAGTGAGGAAAAATATTCACTGTTTCTAAATAAATTAAAATTACATCTTATTAATAAATGCTATTACAATTTAGATGAATACTTTGATGACAAATAAAAACAATAACATTACAATAAATTTGAATAATAAATAAATGTTAATTATATACTATAGGGTTATGCTACTGTAGTAGCACTACAGTGGCATGACTTTATAGTATATAATTATAATCTAATTAAATTCAAACTTTCAAGTGACGTAATTCTACTCCAAATATGACGTATTTCTTTATTACTATATGACATTTTTTTTTATTATTATTTGATAAATAACAATTTTAATTAATAATTGAAACCTCGGCATACCTCTGCTGTTATTGTTATCCCTAATAAAGGGCTCATATGTGTAGCATTATTTTATATTTAAGACATGTTTACCATATGACTGCAATAAATATATTGAGTATTGAGTATTCCTATAACTGCCTCTGTGGCCGAACGGTTACCATGCCGGACTACCACGCAGAGGTCCTACCTTAGATTCCCGGACCGAGATAATAATATTTGTATGGCCTATATTTATTTCTGTCTTGAGTTTGGGTGTAATTTGTGGTTGTCTATGTGTGAATCCATGGTGCCCGCGACACAGGGTTTCTCTAGTACGGGACTATGTTGATTGTGTGCGTTATTATTGTTATCATTCCAAACATCATAGATCGAGACTACTACTTTTGCTGGTTCGTTCCGTTGCTTAGTTGGTATAGCGTCTGGCACGGTAAGCTAGAAGACGTCGGTTCGAATCCGGCCGGATCGAAGGAATTTTTTCTGAGTGTGCGATCTTTGTATTAATAATTATAACAAACTAGTGGAGTAATATCACAAAAAATAATTGAATATCAATTCAATAAAAATGTATAAATTATTATTTTGTTTACTCATTCATTATTTAGCTAAATGTGTGAAAAGAACCCCAGGCCAAACACTGGATACCCATTCTATCGACGTTATTCGGCGCAGAGAGTCATAATATTGATACTACAAACTAAATACACCAATAAAAACCACATAACGACTCATCCGTAGAACAAAGGTACACAGGTACATTTCGTTCGTTCTTGCTGTGGGTGTCAGATAGACCATTGTTCGATTTTATATTTCCGAAACGAAATAAGATATATGTATAAATTCTCAAAACACCTTTACATAGGCATTGGTTTGAATAACGAAATTCACGAAAACTAACGAAACTTAACGAAATTACATCGGGCTCTGTTCTGTGCCTCGGAGGCCGTGAACATGTTAAACTTCGTAAATGGCAAATTTTGAATATTAACTTAATTATCTTATTACAGGACCCTTCTGTCTCCTTCTCTAAGGTACAATTGTGTACGCAATTACGAATGAAATCGAGTGCAAGTTCCTTCGTATTTACATAATCGTCCTTCTATAATCATTCTTCTCCTCAGTGTGTCGCTTATCTACGACCATCATGGCAATTCTCATTTTTGAAGCTGCCAGAATATTATATATAATAAACGAAAGAGGGAAGGTGTGCTAAGCTGGAACCAGTCTCTAAAATTCTTCAACCACGAGGTTTACTTTCCTTGGATTTTCGCCTGCATTATTAGTTGAAGAATCCGGTATATGTATATTGCCCCTCATTACTTGGCCAAAATAATACAACTTTCTTTCCTTTATAAAGCACTTCCTACTCATACATGATTCTTAAGCACGAATTCAAATTTACAATAAAAGTATTGGAGTGGAAATTTCAATCGCTTTGATTGAGAATAACGGCCGCATTGAAACGAAAATACAATGTAGGTACTTTTTTTTTTACTGAAATTATGAATAATGAAAAATAATGAATACGCCTCAAGTATCTACATAATTAAAGTAACTACGGCACTTATTGAATTTATGTGTCAGAAAATAACAATTCTCCCTCGTCTATCTTGCACGCTGATTCTTATTACTTTCGCTCTTGTTTCGTTTCATATTTATTTTGTTTTTGTTTAGTGTAATAAAGAATATATTAAGTTTGTTGAATATCACGATGTTTTAATACAATGACGTTCAATATTTTATCTACACACACATCATAAACTCTCTATAATGTGTTCAAAAACCGCAAATTACGACCAGCACAAAGGTAAACTGTTTTGTTAGAACAAATTTCTTATCTGTCAAAATGTTATTATTGCTAACAACATCAAATTCGATTTTATTATTACATTCAAATTTCGAACATCTCTGAAAAACAAAACAATTTGATTGGACCTCAATTCTAATATCAGTCGAGATGAAGTTTTATTCGAAATGAAATGTCAATAGCAAACAATTTTGACAAATCTCACACGTTATTTGATATGGAACGATATGATAGTTGAGGCCGACTCTAGTTTGCCTATGAATTAAAAAAAAAACTACGGTTGCGTGACATGCGTGTGAAAAGTTTTTATTTGCCGCCATTTACTTTGTTTTCTTGTTTTATATTATGAACTTAATATTGCACAACTTTCGTGTAAAATTAACGATCAAAATATTTCGGAGACATCTGATATTCGCGACAGAGCAACGAACGTTATGAATGACTTGTTACCAGCAAAGTCAAGGAAGCAGTACGAAAAAAGTTACCAAGATTTTATGGAATGAAGAATAACGAAATATGCGCCGCCTGTAGGCTCGTTTCATAAACCCACACTCGTATTTTAAAGCCTTTCATTATGTAACAATCACATAAACTACTATTTTGTGAAATCACTCCACTAGTTTGTTATTATAATTTTATTAATACAATGGTCGAAAACTAATAATTAGTAGAGTACCTAATTGCACAGAAAAAATATTTGAATATCGTGGTAATAGAACATCGTGGTGTTCAATAAATTAATATTACAATGATTAAATTGTCAGCAATTGGTAGCTGTAGAGGTTGGATTCGTGAAGAAAATTGGCCTGGCTGAATAAAGAAAGACTTTTATAGATTTCTCACAGATGGCGCTAAAGATCTGCAACAAGCACAGAAAAACTCCGTTAGAACTCTGCTAGAACGTTCCGTAGCTTAGTTGAGAGAGCAACAGGCACGGCTTGCTGAAGGGGCTGGTTCGAATCCAGCCTGATCGCAGGATTTTTTCTTAATGTTAGCAATTTTTTTTTATAATACCAAGTGACGGGACGAACAAGTCATGCGCCTGGTGGTAAGCGACACGCCTATCCATAACAGTTGCAGTGCCACTCAGAGCTCTAAATCGCAAAGATCTTAGGGGCACTGCCACGGCGCCCTTCACCCTGAGACATAAGTTGACAAGTCCCATGTGCCTGAATTTCACCGGTACCCTTATCCTTCAAAACCGCAATTCTTATTAATGTTTGGCGGCAGACCCTAGACGGACTCTTCCAGAAGGAGCTCCATTGTTACCGTATTAATAATTATAACAAAGATGTATATTATATATACAATCATACCACAGACCACATATATACTATTTACCTTTGGGGTAGAGTACAATATGGACCTTTTAACTTCCTCATTTGCATCAATGTTTTTATACACGCCCGTTCAGTCTTGTTAATATAGACCTGGCCATTTTGAGGACATCCTCAGTGTAATTGAAATAATATGTATGCAGAGGCGACCTTTGCGCACGTTCCCCTCCATGTTCTCTTTAAATTTATCTCGTTATTCTAATAACATCCATCCGTGTCGTATTCCCTTTTCTATCACAGTTAACTACATCTGCTTTCACACCACAAAACAACTCAACTTCACACAACACATCCTTTTTTCATTACTTATTAAGTGACGGGACCAACAAGTCGTGGCATGAGACATAGGTACAGTTAACAAGTTCTGTGTGCCAGCAACCTTCCAATACGGGACACAGTAACGCTAATATTATTTCTGATCGCCAGATGTAGGTATGACGGCAACACAAAAAACATACTTAATTACATTAAGAAAGGAGACGTCCATAATATTAACCTAAGAACTATAAGTCTAAACCGTAGTACCTTGATTTCGTTTAACTAAGGTACCTAAACGATGGGATTTAGATCTAAAAACATATTTGATTTTTAAGTGACAGGACGAAAACGTCTTGCATAGCAGTTGCGGTGCCCAGTGTTTAATCGCAAAGATCTGAAGGACACTGCCATTGCGCCTGTCACCCTGAGATATAAGTAGACAAGTCCTTTGTGCTTGTAATTTCACCAGCACCCATACCCTTCAAAATCGAAAGACATTACATGTAATGCTCACATTACAGCTTGGCGGCAGAAATAGGTATGGTAGCAGTACTTCCC